TACGTACAGTAAGCTCTTCACAGGTTTCTCTACTTACTTTAGTCAAACCCGGTGATGTGTAACCAGCAGAGAATCCCGCCACCTTGCTAAACAGTCTCCCTCACAGTAAGCGTTACAGTTTGGTGCCATCGCCGATTCGTGTGGTCGTCAGATCATAATTATTGGTCTGTTTCCTGTCTTCCCACGCTCTAAAACACACCAACACAATGAAGGGAGTGTAAGGGAATGAATACAGGGCGCTAAGCACAAGTCACACGACTAAGCAAAACACCACGAAACAAATGCAGAAATAACAGACTGATCGAAAACCATGAATCCAGATCATAGCTCAGTTTAACGGAAGGTGCTTTTCGTTCGGGATGGTGACAAAGTAAAACGAAATTATAGGAGGCAAAACAGCAGGGTTTGGTGAAAGATTGTAAGAATATTTAAATAATGAGTAAAAAATGACAAGGCAAAAAAAGTTATCTTGTGAAATGAGACCGACGGACGGAAATGAGGTATGCGGACTACGAAGCGGGAGCGACGCTGAGGGGCGTTGTTACTGGTACGGCCTCTAGGGTTCTGGCCAGGTGGGCATACCGCACGAGGCCAAGGCAGAATGCGAACCGTTGTAAAGTGACCCGTTCGTAGAAGTTGGCGCGAATGCCCTCCGGGGGTTGAGCCGCGCCTAGCAGCCAATCATATGCCCAGCAGGTCTGCAGAAGTTCGGTCAGCTGGCGACACAAACGTGCTTTGCCCTTCAGACAGAATCGGCGTATGCACGTCAGCTCGGCCGTCAACCAGGGTTCAGGGGAGTCCATTTCCTCCGACGAAAACTAGGTTGGATACAAATGGGTGGAAAATCTTGACTAAAACCAATCAGTTTCAGTGCATAAAGCGAAAGGCATAACAAAAAATAAACAACCTCAAGGAAAAACAAAACAGGGTATAAGTTACATTTAGAGTCCACTACAGCACGCGAAAACCCATCCTTCTGTAATATGGGACAAGTGGTAATAAGGGTTAAATAGATGGGGCATATCAGGGAGATGAAAAGAAATTTAAATTAGAGCGTAGCAAAGAGGAAAATAATAGGGGTAATAATTTGCGCGCGATAATTAAAATGAGAAATATAACCAATAGGAAGCAAGAAGGCTCAATAGTGGACAAAATTGTCAAATCTATATAAACTCTACTGAGGTGATATAGAGATCGCTTCTAAGCCAAAAACAACCGCAGTTCGCCAAAAGTGAAACAAGCTCACTAAAAGCAAACCAAGCGAAAAACTAAAGTAAACAAAAACTAAACGCAAGCTAAGGCCATAATTCGGGAAAGCATGCTTACTGCTACGAAGTACATTAAAGTACGTTAAAAACAAATCTAAAGTTCTCTAAAATAATAAGATTCTAGGCTCTGTAGAATAAACGAACTTAAGGGTGCTGCCAAGCGGCCAAGAAAATAATCATAATACTGGCGATTTGTCGCTGTCGGTATATAAATATGTGCAAAGTGCTAATGACAGTTAGTAAATACCCCACGACCGGTTTATTTTAGCTTCAATCACTCTGTTTCGATCGGTTTAGGGTTTCCCATTTGTACCCGAGGGCTGTGCAGGACGACGTTTCGCTTGAACCGTCACCGGTTATTGGCCAAGTTTGATGGGCAGTTGCCAAGGGTACGTTTTTTTCTCCCAAACATGTGTTGCCAGATGAAATGACAGCCAGTACACTACGAAGTCATCAGTTTGTGAAGTTTCATTTGATTAGCAAAAAGGCCACTCTACTTCTTTCTCCTGGTGTGGGAGTGTGGCCACGCAAACTTAGAAGCGAGCGTATTTCTAACAATGAGAAGGGAAGGAAGATAACGACGGAGTTAGAGCAAGAAGGTGAGAGTAATAGCAACAATTATTTTTTTATCAGTGACACTGATGGCGGCTGACGATCTTGCAGGTGTCGTATGTAAAAAGCTTAGGGGCGAGGCAGGATGACAAAAAACGGCCTTAAATACAAAGGAGGATAAGTAGTGGACTCTAGCAGCCACTTGGAACCCAAGATCATCCGCTGACGCCTTTGGCCTCCAAGGCCCGCGCGTGCACGCCAGCCTTCGCCCATCTCAAGGTCACACCCTACCGTTAACTTAGACATCAGCCGCGGGATTGGCTACTGTAACAAAGCATGCGCCGGCCATCCGGCTATTCCCAACGCTGTCGTCACTCCGGAATTGACGCTCTGGCAGCCGGACTGCGGTCATCCGAGTGTCAAAACTCTTTCCATCTATTCTCTTATCCTTCTGCAGAATACATTATTTCTAACAATCTGGCTTTCCCACCGTCTTCTCTCCCCACCTAAAGGAACCACGGGCCTGGAAGATTGTACCTGTTAGAGTTAAATCTTCGTAGCCTTAACGCCTGTCGATAGATGTGCAGCTGAAGACGGCCAAAACTATGCAGGGGAGAAGGGAGACGTAGCTTCGCGTAGCGTCCCATGAACATGCATACAAATCTCGGAAGAAACCAAAAAGAGTAACAACCAATGAGAGGGGGTGGGGGGGAAAAGTGCTTACAGTGAAAGTGCTCAGAAACTCTTTCAAGGATCCCTGCTTCTTCTGTTGACTTAACAGTTCGCCAATCTTGGTGTCCAGATTTAGACTACCACCGGTCA